TTCTCAGCATGCCATATGGTCCTCTGAGTACTGGCAGAAGTAATTCCTGAGTACATGAGCCAGGAGTGACCCCTGAGCATCACCGGATGTGACTCAAAAAGCAAAAAAAAAAAGAGAGAGATAGATTCTGCACACTCTCTTCCCAAGCAATATTCACTCAGCCCCCTTTCACACCATTTCCCAGCATAACAGTATATTTGTTACAATTCATGAACTGCCAGTGACATATCATCACCCAGAATTTACATTACAATTCACTCAGGGTGTTGCATGTTCTATGGTTTTGTATGGATGTGTGACATGGATCCATTATTACAATCTCAGACAAAAGAGTTATCTTTTGTCCAAAATATTCCCCTCCCTCACCCAGATAGCCATTAGCAACCACCAATCTTCTTTTGCTGTGCCCATGGTTCTGTCTGCTCCAAATGTCAGATGGTTAACATCACAGCCTCTGCGGTCTTTTTGCACCCGCTTCCTTCCCTGGGTAACACACATTTCTTTAACTTCTCCTTCACTGTCTACACGTGCCGTGCTGCCTCATTTCTTTTCAGCGCTAATTAATACCCCCACTGCTTGGATGTACCACAATCTGTCCGTCTGCTGAAGGACACCTGGAAGCAGCCAAGCTTTGAAATTATGAATAAAGCTCTAAGAAACATCTGTGTACATGTTTTGGTTTCAACTCATTTGGGTACATACCAAGGAGTGAACTGCTTGATTCTTATGGTTTGGGGGGGAAAAAATGTGTTTTGTGTTTTGTGTTTTAAGACACTCCCAAACCGTTTCCAAAAATGGCTGTACCATGTGGCACTACTGCCAGCTGACAAATGAGCATTTCTCTGGTTCCACATCCTCAGCATCTTGGATTTGGGCCATGCTAATTCTGGCGTTGTGCATCTCACTCTGTTTTCTTCCTATCACTGTGTTTTCTTTCTGTCTCATGAATGACCTACGCCATTTTCCATCTTTGTCTACACTTGTAAGGCTCTAATTCAGATCTTTGACTGATGTTCCCAATCAGGTAACTCCTCTTCTTACTGAATAGTAAGGGCTCTTTGCATACTTTGGATGCAAGTCCTTTATGAGATAGGATTTTTGCTACAAGGAGCTTCTCTCTTCTACTGAGACAGGCCTTACCTCTCATCCTCTTGACCAAGTCTCTTATACAGCAAAGTCAATAATTCTAATCAATTATTTTTCTCATGGATCATATCTATGGCTTTGCATCAATGAAGTCGCAGCCACCCAGAAAGTTTCACTGTCATTCATTTATCTTTTCACACACACGGAGTAGCTGGTGTGTGTCTAGACACAGACCAGGACAATGCCCCGAGCGCCCAGAAGCACAGCTCTCAGCGGCTCAGACACACCAGCACGCAGAGTCAAGCTTCTTTGGGGAGAACAGAGACCGGAAGGCAGGGGCCACTGGGGTCCCAGCTCAGGGTGAGGCAGCACAGTCTTCACTGGATCCCCAGCTCCAAGGGGTGGGCCCTGCCGCACTACTTCCTCACACCCACCTCACAAGACAGCTGTGAACAAGAGTGACTGACCAGTGGAAGTGCTTAGCAGAGCGGAGACCAGACCTTCAGTGCCCAGCTGGGAAAGTGCCTCCAGCTCTCCACCCTGGGGCAGCGTGAGGCAAATGCTCAGAATAAGCACTGTGGCTGATTTTATTTTGTTTTATTTTTTGATCCAAGGATGTCATTTTCTTTTGGAATTTCAGAAGAAGATAAAGATTTGATCTCACAGAGATGAGATGTCATGCGAAGTTAATTATGCTAATAGTAATCATATGATACGATTTACTAGCATGCTCCAACTTGATGTTCAATCACTAACAAATGACAAATTTGAAATTAAGGAAGAACATGATGGGAAAGCTGAGTGGACACACAAGTCTGCAGCAAAAGCAAGGGATTAAAAGTCGCAGTTTGGTGGAAGCAGTCTACTGCTTTTAAAAAAATAATAATAATAATAAAATAAAATTAAAGGGAGCACCAATCAGGAGAAACACAGATTTCTCGCTCATAACAAAAAATTTTAAAGTGAGAATTTTAACTCATTTGATATTTTAATCGATTACTGGTTTCATTTACCCTAATTTAACAGAGGAAAATGGGACTATAATTTATTTTCTTTAAACTACAAAATTAAGAAATTTAAGTTTTTCAAAAGGGAATGCCCTGCCACAGAGGCAGAGTGGGATGGGGGGGTGGGGGGTGGGAGGGATACTGGGACCCGTGGTGGTGGAAAATGGGCACCGGTAGAGGGATGGGTACTTGATCATTGTACAACTGAAACCCAAGCACAAAATTTGTAAGTCTATAACTGTACCTCATGATGTTTCACTAATTAAAAAAAAAAAAGAAAGAAAAAGAAATTTAAGTGTTTTTTTTTTTAAACTAAAAACAGATTTTATTTGGAGGTGTTTAGGAAAGGGAAGGAGGAAGAGTGAGAGAGAGATCACGAAGGCACTAAGCAGTCTGCTGTAGAGATGTCTCCTGACCTTGCACCAGTCTGATTTCACCAGGGTGCCTCAGACAGGAGCAGGCATCCTCCCTCCGCCTGCCCCCTAAGAATCCCGGCAGCCGCCAACTTCCAGACCCAATGAGAAGCCCAGGTATGCAGGACCAGTGATGGCAAACTTCAGGCCTCAAGGGATAATGGATGGGCTGGTCCCACTCATCCCCCATCCCCATGGGACCCTGGAGCTCCCGCCCACAAACTGCCTCCAGCTGCTAGTTAAGCTCCTTAACGGCCAGGATCCAGAGACATACAAAAGAATCTCCAACCAAGCACCTTGCCGAAGAGATTCCTCCAGAACCTAATTAAGTAAAATTTTAGAATTCCAGGAGCGCATGTGGCCACTCTCATGGCTGCACAACATCTTATGCTATTCGTAACAAGCGATACAAAATGAATTATCTAGCATCTGCCTTTTCCGAAGGTTTGAGTGGTGGCGGGAAAATTCAAAATAATGGTGGTGGGGCCACCATGTCACGGCCATGAGACATCTTATTATGACATCTTATTATCTCATTCCTACTTTGGACAAACTGGCAGGCTACCGAATGTAGCCTGCCCACAAGGCAGAGTCTGGCAAACTCCCCGTGGCGAACCCAATATGCCAAATACCAGTAACAATGATGGGTCTCATTCTCCTAAAGAGCCTTGAATATAATCTCAGGGCTAGGATGAAAGAGACGTTACTGGGGCCTGCTCGAGACAATCAACGAATAACAGGATGATTTGTGATTTGTGATTTTGATTTGAATGGTGATGGGAAGGTGTAATGGTGGTGGGACTTGGTGTTGGAATATTGAATGTAATCCATTATTGTGAACAACACTGTGAAATTTATCTTAATTTTAATAAAAATGATGGGAAAAAGAGAGAGAACCCAGGTTTCTTCAAAGGTGGAGAGAGCCCCTACACACACCCCAGCATTAAATATGAAACCATGAAAGTCCATATCTCAAGGGGGTTAGATGTGGGACACACATGTGCTCAGGCACCACATGTGCTACGTGGGCCCAAGCAGCACATGGACTCAGGCAGCTATAGAGAGACAGACAGATGGATGGATGGATGGATGGATGGATGGATGGATGGATGGACGGATGGACAGATGGATGGACAGACATACAGATAGGCAGGCAGGCAGATAGATGAATGTATCAAAATCGAAAGGTACCATTTTTTATTTGGCTGCTGTTGTTGTTTTTGGTTTTATGCCACACCAGGCTGTAGTCGGGGTTCCTGGCTCTGCATTCAGAGACCACTCCTGGCAGAGTTCAGGGACCACTGAACCTGGGTTGGCTGTGCACAGGGTCCACACCCTCCCCAGTATGTCCCCACCACCCAGCCCAGAATGGTACTACTTTTAAAGCAAAACTATAACTAAGCTTGTGCTATGAAAATCCTCGCATCAATGATATCTCAATAAAAGCAAAATGCAAGATTACAACGCATCTGATTTATTAGGAAACAGCTACCTATCTACTCCGGGGGAATCAGTCAATGCACAAAGCAAGAAAGGACCAAATTTTATTTCTATCTGAAAATAAAAATAAATAACTCAAAAAGACAGCCAGTAAGGGCTGAAGAGATAGTACGGGGGGTGGGGTGGGGGGGAGGCACAGGCCCTGCGTGAGGCTGACCCAGGCTCAGTCCCCGGTATCAATGGCCCAAGAGCCAGTGCAACTGGGTAATCCCAACACTCCAGGGCCCATTCAGCAATGCATCGTCACATCCCCACATGGAACTTCTGGCCTGCCTGGACTAGATTCACTTGGAGGGCGGCAGACCTCCTACTACAACTTGGGAGATACCCCTCCACATCCCTAAAACGACACTTGGGGACAGAGAGCTAACTCAAGAGGCTGAGCACACACTTTTCATATACAAAATGAAACACCTGGTGCCCTGAGCACTGACCCCCATGCACAGGACAGGACATCATCCTTGAGTAGTGCAGGCTTCGTCTCCATGCCCCCCCACCCTGCCACACACACAATTCTTTTTTGTTTGTTTGTTTTTTGTTTGTATTTGGGAGGCAGCTATGCTAGCCACTATACCACCAACACCGAGCCGGGTTCGATTCCTCCACCCCTCTCAGAGAGCCCAGCAAGCTACCAAGAGTATTCAATGTGCCAAACACAGTAACAAGAAGTCTCACAATGGAGACGTTACTGGACCCGCTCGAGCAAATCGATGAACAACGGGAGGACAGTGTTTGTTTTGGGGCCACACCCAGCAATGCTCAGGGGTCACTCCTGGCTCTACGCTCAGGAATCACTCCTGGTGGAACCACATAGGATATCAAGGATCCCACCCAGGTCGGCTGCATGCAAGGCAAATACCCTCCCTGCAATGCTATCGCTCCTGCTCCCCCCACACACATGTCTTAAGATGCCCGGTAAATATTAACAAAGCAATATTAGCTAATTAAAACTCAAATAATACAGAAATCTACTTCTCTCGCGTTCAACTGTTACCTTTAATTGTTTCTTCCACAACTTCTACCACACGATCTATTTGTTGAACCTAAAAAGGAAACAAACTGTTAATCCATGTACATGGGAAGAAAAAATTAATTTGCTTTTTCTCATGCTTGAATCACTGATCTGCATTTTGTAACTATAGGAATGTGTGTTTTCTTTAATTAGTGCAACTGATGATACAACTAAAATATTTGATATTAATGTTTTATGTTACAATGAAGTCTGAAATAATTGCTCCTTGTTTCCCATTGATAAGTGAAGAAATTATATTACTGCCTGCAGTTCTGTTCAGCTACTCTATCAACAGAAACTCAACATGTCCTGAGATACGAACGGACTTTTAATTAAAACACGTGGCTTCGTAGCTTCAAAAACACAGTCTAAAATGACAATCTAACCAAGAAGACATCCCAGTATTAAGGAGATCCCCCCCACTCCAAATCCTGTTCTTTATTGTTTTAACACTGAAACCTCTTTTAATGAATTTCTGCCCTGTGCTGGTGCTGCCCCCAAGCCTGTAGAATACAAAGTCAAATAATGAGCACGCCTGCCCAAAGCTCCAGCGACTAAGGAAGATTTCCCAGGGCGCCATGGGACCACAGTGACACAGTAATGAAATCAGATGGAATGATTCGGGACGGCCTCGTGGGGACCCAAAGGTGAATCCTGAGGGATAAACAGAATTAAAACAGGAGCAGCCTATGGAGGAGTCTGAGCCAGTAGTGAGAGCTTAGAATAAAAATGCTAAGGCAGTGATCTATTCCCACGTTAGCACAGGTAAAGGAAGATTGAAAATCCAGGAAGAAGAAGAGGTTGCTAGGACTTCAGCTTTGAAAATGCTCGAGTCATCACTGTTCTCCTAAGAATGGAAAACAGGTTTTAAAATTTTAAATAGAAATACAAGGGGAAAAAATAAAGAAACAGCAATATCTTTCTTCCTTCTTTTCCACTTCTCTGATGAAATCATTAATGGTTTAAAGAGTAGATGCCAAGACATTCTCCAGTGTGAAACATTTGTTGTATAGTTTGTTTTTTTTTCATAACTTATGATGAAGGAAGATGTGGGAAGGGATAGGAGAAGAAAAGGAGTGAGAAATAATAGACAGGCCCTTTCTTTTTAGCATGTGCTGTATCTTTTCAGCACATAAAGACCGGCACTTCATCCATGTGACTGCCGAGTGCGTCTGTGCCTAGACGTACCATAATGTGATGACCCTTTCCTTTGCTTGGGGCCTTTAGCTATTGCTGACCTTCCATTACTGTATAATAATGCTGTAGTGAACTTAACTGAGACATAATGAGCCTCTTAAAACTTTCAGGCTTTATTAAAAATTCATTGGCAAATGTTTTACAAAATAATTCCTCTGGCCTCCGTGTCTCCTAGGAGATAAGGAAAAACTTGCAAGAACATCTGAATCATATCAACAGCTCAGAATGATGGTGATGACGGGGGATCCACACAGAGAACTGGCCAATGGCAACATCAGCCTCAAAGGAAGTTGCATCTGGAACCCCAGCCACGCCCACTTACTGGATCCGCCCAAAGGAATCCTGGGAATCCCTGTAAGCACCTTCGAGAATGTATGTGAACATTCTTGAACAACAGAGGGCTCAGAGGAAAAGAAGGAAGCAACAGAGATGGCAGGAACACAAAGACTAGGACAGATATGGCCAAACAGAATGTAGGGCCAATGCAGTTGGAGAAACAGCACGAAGAGTTCTAGGAATACTGAATCATCAGAAGAACCAGTGAGAGCGAATGAAGACGTCCTGTGAAAAAGCCAGTCAAAGGCAAGGAGACAAAGGTTTCCTGCTACCCAAAGGAATCAAGGAAAGAGGTGAGATGGGGGAAAGAAGAAGCGGAAATGGAAAACAAAGCGACTTGGAGTAAAGGACAGAAAGCAAGGATGGAGAGAACAGAGATAAGAAAGTCAAGGAGAGGAACCAGAAGTTATAACCAGAACACAGGCATGGGCATTTGGTATTTCTTTTTGTTTGTTTTGTTTTTGTTTTGGGGTGACACCTGGCAGTGCTAAGGGGTCCCTCCTGGCTCTGCCCACAGGAATTACTCCTGGTGATACACTGGGGGCCATATGAAATGCTGGGGATTTAGCCTGGATCAACTGTGTAAAAGACAGCCACCCTGCCCGCTGCATTATCTCTCCGACCCAGGCATTTAGTATTTCTGAAGGAGTGCAGGATCTGGTCACTAACTAGAGGAAGTTGCTGGAACCATGGGAGTTGAGAAGCAAAGGTGTGAGAGGTTCCAGTGTGGGTGAGACATTCCATACGGGCACTCAGATTTCTCAGGGCAGGGAAGAGCTGGCCAAACTGCCCAGAGAATTCAGAGACATCAGCTGAAGAGAGAAGACACAACATTAAAGGATTGGATTAAGACAGCACCCGAGGACAGAAAAAGAACTAAATCCCTTCCCTGTGTAGCTAGAGAAGGGTCAGCTCGCAGAGGACATGCCTCCACGGATGCCCGGGTGCTGCACTTGCAGATAAGTCAGAACAGCATGTGGAGGAAGCAGTTGCAACCTTCAAATCGGAGGGAAACCTGAAACTAAAAAAAGGGAAGCCATAAAACCAAATGAACTTTGGGCCAAAGAGACAGCACAGCTGGTCAGGCACTTGCCTTGCATATGGCTGACCCAGGTTCAATCCCAGGCAACACAAATGGTCCCCCAAGCACCACCAGGAGTGATCCCTGAGTACAGTCAGAAAAAAAAGTTCTGAGCATAGCTGAATGTGGCCCCCAAACCAAAACCAAACAAGAAAAAAAAAAAAAGAATAATCCATGATTTAGATGACTATCACACCAAAACCAAGAGCAGTAATAACAATAACAAAGAGAGCAAACATATCATCAAAATTACAACCTTCAGGGTCGGAGTGACAGTACAGTGGGTAGGGTGTTTGCTTTGCATGTGACTGACCCAGGTTCAATCCCTGGCATTCCGTAGGGTCTCCCCAGCACAGCCAGGAGTGCAGAGCCAGGAGTAACCCCTGAGCATCACCGGGTTTGACCCAAAAAGCAAAATAAATAAATTAATTAATTAAAACCTCTTGGTGCATTAAAAGACACTATACAGAAAGGAACAATACAGCAGGAAAATGGAGAGAAAATATTTGCTAATAATCTATCTTATAAGAATCCCAGAATATGTAAAGAATTTCACCACCCTAATAAAGACAACCCATTTTTAAACGGGCAATAGTTCAGTCACTTTTGCAATGAAAATATGCAAATGGGCTAGAGAGATAGTACATCAGGCAGGGCACTTCCCTTGCATGCAGCAGTCCCAGGTTCGATCCCCGGCAGCCCAGATGGCCCCCCCATGCACCGACAGGAGTAATTCGTAAGTGCAGAGCCAGAAGTAACCCCTGAGCATTGGTGGGCAAGGCCCAAAAATCCATAAACACACAAACACATGTGCGCGCGCACACACACACACACACACACACACACACACACACACACACCCCACAGTCAGCAAAGATGTTTTCCCTTCCTATACTTTCTTGACCTTGTCATTCGACTACCCTTAACTTTTTTTTTGGTAATAATAACCTTATTGTTATAATAATTTTGTAATAATAACCGGAACCGGAACCCGGAATCCAGATCCCGGAACGGCACGGCCGCATTCGCGGCCGCGTGACATCTTATCAGGACTTTTTTTATGACATCTTATTGTCTCATTCCTAGGGGCTGGAGCAATAGCACAGCGGGTAGGGTGTTCGCCTTACAGGCGGCCAACATGGCCGACCCGAGTTCGATTCCTCCGCCCCTCTCGGAGAGCCCGGCAAGCTACCGAGAGTATTCGATATGCCAGACACAGTAACAACAAAAGTCTCCAATAGAGACGTTACTGGGCCCGCTCGAGCAAATCGACGATCAACGGGAGGGCCTTTACCTTACCTTTTACCTTACTTTGGACAAACTTGCAGGCTATCGAATGTAGCCTGCCCACAGGGCAGAGTCTGGCAAACTCCCCGTGGCGTACCAAATATGCCAAATACCAGTAACAATGATGGGTCTCATTCTCCTAAAGAGCCTTGAATATAATCGCAGGGCTAGGATGAAAGAGACGTTACTGGGGCCTGCTCGAGGCAATCGACGAATAACAGGATGGTGAAATGAAATGAAATGAAATGAACCTTATTGAGATAGAAATCACACCGTACAGTTCTCAGACTTAGTGTATGAAACAATGCTTTTCGTTTCTTCGTCAGTTGATAGGTGGGTTATTTTTGCCTCTTTTGATTACCATAACTAATACTGCAATGGATGTATATGTACAAATTCTTGCTGTGATATAGGTTTTTACTTTTCTTGAATAGCTAGGATTGGAATAACTGGATCATATGATATTTCCTTATTCAGCCAGAGAAATGGATGATGTAAATTCAATCTCAACAAAGTTATTATCACAAATAAAAAACTTTGAGTGTGATCAAATGCTCCAATGACAAGGTCAAGAATTAAAGGAAGAACTCAGGGCTGGAGTTTTAGTACAGCAGGGAGGGTGTTTATTTGCCTTACATGCAGCCAACCCGGTATGCCCCCCACCCCAAAACAAAACAAAAACAAGAGAGAGAGAAAGGAAAGAAAAATATGAGGAACTATGCCAAGTTAATAGAAACTAAAAGAGTTAAGGTGACTTTAGAGCTAGGATTTGCTTTTCTCAGAAAACACATCATTGGGACTACTGGCAAGTTCAGAATAAAGTTTTAGTAACTGATCAATGTTTATTTCCCAAAGTTTATAACTGCAGAATGCAAGAGAATCTGTTTTTGAAGTGTATGTGTACTTAAAAGGGAGCATCAAGTTTTCATCACGCTCTCAAAAAAAAAAATCAAGAAAAACCTGTGTACATACACAGACTAAATTAAGCAACTTTGCTATAATATTAACATTCTGTTTCTGCAACTTTTTTGTAAGTGTGAAATGACGTCAACTAAAAATTGTTGTTGGAGAAATAAGGAATTTTTCTTTAGCCTGATGTTCATGTACAGTTGGCTTTATATTCATACAGC